TAGTTGTACTCTCGTTATACTGATGTAATATGTAAGCCAGTCTTCGGACGGCCCACCCGTTTAAACTAATAAAGTGCCAGGGGTCTAAGTGGTCATCTTAATATTAAAAAAAAAAAAAAAAAAAGGGTATTTCCAGTCCACTCAATATTATATTTTTAAATATTAATTATTTTTTATTAAAATCATATTACGCAAATAAATCGCAAATTACAGTCTTTAATTAGATATTTATCCTATTGTCAAAGAATTTATCTATATGCTAAAACCACATTTACTTATAAGTAAATATATAACAATAAGTATTAACATACTTTATTGTTACAAATTCTTTGAACAGAGATCTTTATAATTCTAATCACAGCCTTTAGTGGTTGTGCATTTGGAATATATCAATGATGCTTAAAAATTGGGCTTATTGAGAAAGTTCTCAACTCAATCTCTGACATGATAAAAGAACGCCAATCTAAATCTATATGAAAAAAAAGCAGTATATACGTATAACTTGCTAAATATTTTGTACAACTTCCCAGAATATTCGAATTAATGTTGTTCACAACATGTTATTGATGCAACTCTGATGCACTGCCCCCAAAGGCTAAATTAAAAATCAATAAAGAACTCTGCATATTATAGAAAATAAAATAGTTCACCAATACAAAATAGTGTAATGATCTTATCATTTTTCTAGTTCGTTCATATAGAATAGAAAGAAGATATAGGGCCTTTGCCTTGAAAATGACCTTACATTACATGATACTATAAGGTCATTTTCAAGGCAAAGACCCCATATATCAAAAATCATAATTATGTAAAAGAAATATAAAGCCTTTTGTTGTGCAAGAATAGTGGTTTTCACTTGTGCTATATTTCGATTGTCATCAATTAATATATATTATAAATTTTCACTAAACTTCAATACAATAAATAATATCAATACATACATTTGATCTTGTGTTTTATTATTTTTTTAACATAAAGTTCAAACCGAGCTTTATTCTTAGATTATGGAAGACAATTTACAATCTTCATCAGTTCAATCATCTGATAAGCTAATTATTAACCAACCTGATAGTCTTGTACTAGTGAAAGCGAAGAAAATAAAACTGATATCTCTAAAAAATTGGATCATAAAGATGGATCAAAAAACCGAAGCTGGGTGTGGAAATATTTTAAATCAGAGGAAGTGGCTGAAGTTATAAAAGAAAGATCTGATCGTATTAATGTTAAAACTACATATTGCACTTGTCTTGTATCAAATGATTCGGATAAAAATTGTGATGCACAATTAAAAGTTGTAGGCGGGTCAACTTTTAACTTACACAAGTCGAAAGATAAAAAATCAGATACCTGATTGTGCCTGATTTTTTATCTTTTGACCTGTGTTAATATCTCATTTATGGAAGAGTCATAGTATCACACAAAACGAACCTAACTTATATAAACCAGACGATTAAATAAAAAGTTAGTATGTAGTTCTTTTTGTGCAATATGAGTTATCCCTTAAATTATAACACAGGCAAATTTGCCTGTGTTTTTATTAAAAAGTTTAATTTTTTTAATAAAAACTTAT